GCCCTACTTATAATTCTCTCTTCATATAGCAGTATGCCTATTACATATCCATAAAACACTGTGATATAACCGGGCTCAGATCGTGTCGCTTTCTCACTACAATTGATCCGCTCCAGAGTTTGTTTCAATTGAGCCGAGACAACCTCATTCAAGCGATTGATTTGGCGCGCATCAGAGCGCGATTGGTGGTTTCACATTTGCTAAACAAACCTCTGATCAAAACGCAGCATTAAAATACATTGTATTCTCCTTATGAGGCCCCCCAAGGCCCCTCTTTAAGTAAACATGCAACACCGGTAATGCTTCAGGGTACTGTTACTATTACAGATTGAAAAGTGAAACCCTGCCTAAAGTATTGTATTTCAGATATGCAAAAAATGTAGACAGCACCCTCTAGTGGACCTGTTATCTAAAATGCAACGTGAAACTAAATGAAACGTACCCAGAGCAATGTATTTTAAATTTCCCAAAAATAGTAAGGTAACAATTGATTTTAAGGTGACAGTTAAATGTTCCATGCACTTACTTTAGTAATTACGATACAATAAATTACGCATAATTACATGTAACTAACCCTAAACCTACCCCACATTCTAACCCTAAACATTTAGTACACTGAAAAAAATTATTCAAAGATGATTCCTTGGATTTACTACATTTTTTACGTTAAGTGGTTGTAAACAATTTAATTGTTTTGAATTAAAACAAACCAAATTAAGTTGAACATTATTCAATTTAATTTGTTTGTTTAAATTCAAAACAAAAAAAATAGTTTGCAACAGTTCTGCATGCAACACTTTTTTTCAGTGTAATTACATGTAATTAATTAACATTACTCAGTATTTAAAGGAAACTGTACTACGTCATCCTAAAATAATGTGTGTCATACCAATAGTAAATGCCCATTTACAGCAAAACATAGCATCATTTGTCAAAGGTGCTGGATAGAACTTAAAGTGGTTCCTCTTTGTTTATGAAACAATGAACCATTTTAGGGCTACGATCAAAACAAAACCTATTCAGGGGGGTGGGGGGTTATATCCCTTTTTTTCCACATACCAATGTTGACAGGTATGGTCATAAAAAGTAATTATCTGCTGATACCAATCTCTTGCCGATTGATCGGGCATCCTTAGTTTATATTATTAGGACATCCCCACTAACACAAAAGAACTTTAACCATATTTTAGAGTGTATCATACTACTATGGTATGGCCATCTGTTTACATGTCACATACTTGTAGTAAAGAAAACTTTTTGACACAATACTGGCAAGATTTGTACATGTAAATCATTTACAGTAGGGCTTTGGTATAAGCTTTGATTGATTTAGATTCCCAAAAATGCACACTGTTGGAAATAATTGACCAGAAACAGATCATATCTCTTCCGTTCAGCTGAATTATAGCGCACAGCTCTTTTAATCGTTATCCAGGTAAAATGTAACTTCTTCAATAGATTTAACAGAATCGCTTTTTTTGTGTTCAACTTTCTGTCAGATAAACTACACTGAAAAAAATGATTCATTGAATTTATTAAATTTTTTAAGGTAAGTGGTTGCAAACAATTTATATGAGCTGAATTTAAACAAACCAATTAAGTTGAACATTACTCAATTTAATTAGTTAGTTTAACATGTTTATAACCACTTACCTTAAAGTGTTGTAAATCCAATGAATCATTTTATTTCAGTGCACTGTAAAAAATGCCTGCATGTTTACAAACTTAAGTGGATTGAACATAAAACAATTAAGTTGTCCAAAAAAAAAAACCTTAAGAACTGTGTTGGTTCAACTCATTTTAAATAAGGAGCAAAAGTAATTTTTCGAGTGTGTATGGCAAAATACTATGCGTTTGGTGATGAGAAGCCTTCATGACTGTTTATTCTATTTCATTTAGAGCCGTTAGCTTTTAATTGACTTGCAGCATAACTGATAAAGTGACACTCGGCCTTTGGTCGTATGTAAACGAAAGCACCTGTTCTCTGCTGGGCAGGCTGGCCTGTGACCCCCGGCTCTGTATTTGACAGTCTCTGTTTGCGTCTCATGCCAGATGAGCCGAATAGTGAAATGTGACTCCACAGGATACAATCAATGTGCATCTGCATTAGCATGTGTGGGACAGTGTTGATTTCCCCTTCCTCATGGGCTGAACTTTCTTTCTCAGCAGCATGTGTTGTGCAGATACCGGGGAAGATTTGATTTGCAAATTGTTTTGTGAAGCAAAACAGAGAGAGAGGAAACAGAGTGCCAGGTAACCAAATTCATTTTTACTGTAGTGTAAACATATGATGTGTGGCATAAATAGAATATATTGAGTGTGTTTTGTATTTACTTTAATGTCAGATAGGATCACTTACTCACTCTTTCATGGAGAACACACATAAAAATATTTTCCGCATAATGAAAGTGAATGCTGATGTCAGCTGAGAAGTGATTCTGCTCCTCATATGAAAAGTGAATCATACAATTGCAAGGCTTGAAATATGTACTAAAGCTTTTAACTTTTTATAAAGCTTTTAAATAAAAATGTTCCTGGTTTCCATCTACTTTTACAGGGGTTGATTTTCTTGGAAAAATATTAAAACTTGGAAAAATCTTCATCCTGAGCCGTTTAGAGCTTCAAAATTGAAAGTTGAAGACTTTTATTCATACATTTTTAGATTATTATTGCTCATTACTATTAAAAAGCAAACACACATCTGGTAATAATATTATATAAAAGACCTATTGCCAATCTGTAGTTTACTTTGATGATAACTGTAAAAAAAAACATGTAATTTAACAATTTTCCATGTTTTGTGATTCATATTTTATTATTATTATTTATTTATTTATTTATTTATTATTATTTATTTATTCATTAATTTTTTTTTCGGCTTAGTCTCTTTATTATTTGGAGTCGCCACAGCAGAATGAACTGCCAACTTTTCCAGCATATGCTTTAAAAAACATGTAATTTAACAATTTTCCATGTTTTGTGGTTCATATTTTATTATTATTATTTATTTATTTATTTATTATTATTTATTTATTCATTCATTCATTTTCTTTTCGGCTTAGTCTCTTTATTAATCTGGGGTCGCCACAGCAGAATGAACCGCCAAGTTTTCCAGCATATGCTTTACGCATACCTTTTAGCTGCAACCCATCACTGGGAAACACCCATACACACTCATTCACACACACATACACTACGGACAATTTAGCTTATCCAATCTTTGGACTTGTGGGGGAAACCTATAAGCACCCGGAGGAAACCCACGTGACTCAGTGATCTTCTTGCTGTAAGGCGAACGTGCTACCAACGTATTATTATTTTTTTATTGCATCGTGGGACCTTGATGCTTCCTTGCTTGATCGAAAATGTAAAATGAAAAAAGAGCCTTTAATAGTTTAAATCTTAAATCTTGTCTGGTTTGTTGGTAATAAACTATCAGTACTTTTCCTGTTATTTTACAGACTTGATTCTATTATTTAATCTACAATGTATTTTTTCAAAACACTAAAATTGTCACTTTGATAAAATGCACAGTTGAATTTTCATCAGCAAAAGTCGAGAGAGCAGAGAGCAAATGTAAGCCATGAAACTTGTTAACACTGATTTAGATGATCCATTCAGAGCAAGTCTCCAGGTAATGATTAACTGATCCAAATAATTTGGTCAGAGTGAAACTCCAGTTATTAACTCACTGATTCAAATGCTCCAGTTAGAGTTCATCTCCAGTTAATAACGGTCAAATCATCCAGTCAGAGCGAGTCTCAGTCATTCATTCATTTTCCTTTGGCGTAGTCCCTGATTATCTGGGGTCGCCACAGCGGAATGAACCAACAACTATTCCAGCATATGTTTTACACAGCGGGTGCACTTTCAGCTGCAACCCAGTTCTGGAAAACATCTAATACACATTTCGGCAACCAGGATTTTTTTACAGTGTGGTGTATGACAATATCTGATAATAAAATGTTTTTGTTTTAAATAATAACCAAAATAAACATTCATTAGTAAGTACTTTTACATTTGATGCATACAGTAAAAAAAATGCAGGGTCCCACACAATTCATTCATGTGGTCCCAACACAAATCGATTAAGTTAAATTAACTGTAAGTGTATTCAACATAAAACAATTATATTATTCCCCAAAAATCAGGAATTATGTTGTGTCAGCTCCTTTTAAATTGGTAGCTTGAGCAAGCTGCAAAAAGAAAATGAATGAATGAATGTATGAAATTGTCCGTAGTGTATGTGTTTGAATGAGATTGTATGGGTGTTTCCCAGTGATGGGTTGCAGATGGAAGGGCATCTGCTGCACAAAACATATGCTGCATAATTTGGGCGTTCATTACACTGTGGCAACCCCTGATTAATAAATGGTCTAAGCCGAAAAGAAAATGAATGAATGAATAAACAAGCAGCAAAATATTTTTTTAAATGTATACATCCATACATATAAGTTTGGACTCAAGTAAATCTGAAAAAGAGTACTTACTGCTTTTATGGCAGTCTGAAGTATTTTGCACACCAGTGTTTAAGTAAACAGACGAATGTATTTGCCTGTCATGATTCACATAATAAAATACACTCATACAAACTGTATAAAAATATATTTCATTTTGTTTCTATGTAAATGAATATGGTTACTGTTGGCAGTTTATTTCCATGCTTCAGTCTCCTTCCCTATTCATGTTCCTCTTTCAAGGGCACTACTATTGACTCGGTGACAGCTTTCAGGTGAACTCTTGCTTATGTAACTCTAAAACTAAGCCTTGTTGATCTACTGTTAATGATAAACAGACAAAACAAACGCGCACACGCTTCATGTAGCACAGCCTCGCTTCTGAACTTTTGTTCGATGTCTTGTGGAGCTGGTGGTGAATGCAAACGAAACACGGACTAGAAAGTGTTCACTAACCACACCTGGCTCTTTCTCTCTCTCTCTCTCTCTCTCTCTCTCTCTCTCTACCTCTCTCTCTCTCTCTACCTCTATTTCTCTCTCTAGGAAGTGAGTGGTTCACATTCATCCACTGAAAGAGTTGCAGACAGCCATCGAGGTGTTGGGGAAAAAATGTCGAATCAGGATTCAAACTTTGGTGTCTGTGAGTATCTTTTAGCTTTTAATTTACAATCTTTTTAAATTAAACCGCAAAGTTTTTGATTTTGTGTGTGTGTGTGTGTGTGTGTGTGTAAAGGTGACATGTTTAAATACTTCACACATTGCAGTCTAGCATGATGACAACTGTGATGACAGATTTCACCTTTAGTGCTCATGCATGTCCTATACACTTATCGGCCACTTTATTAGGTACACCTTACTAGTACCTGATGGACCCTATTTTGCCTTCAGAACTGCCTTTATCCTTAGATTCAACAAGGTACTGGAAGTTTACCTCAGAGATATTGGTCCATATTGACAGGATAGCATCATACAGTTGCTGCAGATTTGTTGGCTGCACATTCATGATTCGAATCTCCCGTTCCACCACTTAACAAAAGTGCTCTATTAGATTGAGCTTTGTTGACTGGCCATTCGAGTACAGGGAACTAACTCATTGTCTTGTTCAAGACATCATGCGATTGGTGGATTAGAAATTTGCGTTAATGAGCAGTTGGACAGATATACCTAATAAAGTGGCCGTTGAGTGTATGTGTGTATGCATGTTTGGCTTTGTGTTGTAGTCCTATTTCTTTTACTTTTTTTACTTCCTTTACTAGTTTAATCACATATCAGATCGGAGCTGTGTGACAAAGTGAACACAATTGCGGTTAAATTTCCCTTGTTTGTATTAAAACAGAAGTTTGATATGTTTATGCACTTTGTAAATATAATTTCCTCATTCAATTGGTGACTGAAATAGTGACGTGACGTTTTATTAACATTTTTCCAATTATTAATTCAGTGTAAGTGTCTATTTTGTACTCATAAAGGGATGGTTCACCCAAATATACTTTAAACTTACCTTTACTTAGTCCAAACCAATACTTTGTCTGCATTTTGTTGTACCTAAAAGAAGATATTTGAAGAATAATGAAAACTGGTAACTATTGACTTCCATATTGACTATTTATTTTTCCTACTATGGAAGTTCTATGGTTACCAGTTTTCATCATTCTTCAAAATATCTGCTATAGGTTTAACAGAATTAAGAAACTCAAAAAGGTTTGGAGCCATTTGAAGCAGAGCAAACTATGAGTACATTTTTACTTTTAAGTGAACTATCTGATTAACACGGATACACTGTAACAGTTTTGTTAAACAATAACAGCTGTGTGGATGCTAGTGCTTGATTAAGAGTCTTAATTTCTTAATCAATACTCATATTTCTTCCTAAATCTAAATAGCAGTGTTTTAGCTGCTTTCTATTGATGCATGAAATCCACTGTGAAAAAAACGAACTGTAAAATAAATGGTGGCTGTGTTAAAATACAGTTAAAATGATTGTAAATTTACAGTAAACTACAATATTTCAATAATTAACGTTTTTTAAGTATTAACATACAATGTACCTTTGATATACAGTACACACACACAAAACCACCAAAAACAGGTGGTGTAGACAAACCAAAGCTCATCTCAAACGGCTTTTCCACAAGCAGAAAAGCATACTAATATAAAAAGGCGCTCAATAATGGTGGTGACTGCCCAAAACACGAATAATTAATACTTTAATTCATTCAAATACTTTAACAGTTTAAACTTATATTTAGAGAAAACTCAATAAAAGCCAAATACACACTACAAAAATGATGTTTGTTTAAACGATGAAGCTAAAATGAGCTGAAACAGCACAATTCTTGAACTTTTTTCGAGGACAACTTAAATGTTTTATGTTCAAAGCACTTAAACATATGCGTTAACTTAATTTCTTTAGGTTATCCTAACACAAATCGATTGTGTGGAACGTTGGATTTTTAACAGTGCAGATAATTAACGTTTTTTTTGTCTTTTTAACATTTTAAATACTGCAGTAAACATTATGTATCAACATTAGATGTAACATTGAACTCTAATGTAACTAATGAAAATCATTAAAAGAACTATAGCAATGTTAACAATAGCTAAAAAGTGTAGTGTCATGCACTGTAATCTACTGTAAACCAGGTAACAGATTTTTACTGTAACATTTTTAGTTTTTACCATTAAAACCCACAGTCATTGTTTTATAGTGTTCAGTAAATATTAGCGTGCCTAATAACAAAACCTTTGTCTTTTGTTACTTTTAATACTGTCTCAGCTTTCACATTCTAAAAATAGAAACAATAAATGTGCTTTTCCCGCTATTAGATGTGGCGTGACAGATCCCTGTTGTCACAACAGTGTGTGCAGCAAGTGAACTTCACATCGCTTACTCTTTTGCATAAAATAAACATAAATGAAAATCAGAAGTTATATCTTAGTATCCTAGTAAACAGAAAAGTGTTGTTTGTTTTATTTAGAAAAGGATGTGAACTTCACTACAATTATTCATTCATTCATTATGAACCGCCAACTTATACAACATATGCTTTACGCAGCGAACGCCCTTCCAGCTGCAATTCAGTACTGGGAAACATCCATACACATTCACACATATACACACACACACTATGGACAATTTAGTTTATTCAATTCACATAGACTTTTTTATGCCGCTAGGGCCGGGTTGTGGGCCAATTTTCACATCATAGCTAGCACAGACTGTATATCAGTCCGGAAGTGCCTGTGATGCCATGCACATATACATTTCCACCCACGTGCAATAGAGAACATAAAGAGAAAAATTGCCAATGGCGAACTTAAAACTGTGAAAAATGCAGAAAGGAAAACTTCTGGTCAAGTTATCAAATAGTGAAAACTTTAAATGATGAGCCAACTGGTTATGCACAATGCACAACTTGTAAATCCAAGGGGGGCTGCAGGATTTTATTCCAAGTTACGCATATATAGCACCGCCCCGCCTCATCATCCTATATTCTTATTTCAATCTCAGGAAACATTAGCTGATTAGCTGTTGGACAAGGGCAGGGCTATAGTCTGTGTGTCTCAAGTCAGGGCCGGGCTAGGGCTTAGATTTAAAGTCTACCCTAAGGAAACCCGCATGAACACTGGGAGAACATGCAAACTCCACAAAGAAATGCCAATTGACTCAGCCGGGATTCGAATCAGTGACCATCTTGCTGTGAGATGACAGTGCTGATTACTGAGCCACCGTGTTGCCCCTTATTTGTTGTTTATTTTTATTTATGGAGAAAATATCCTCCATAACCAGTCCATTCAACTACACCATTTTGGTCAAACTTAAATTTTTATGTTGTCCTTGCTGTAGCTTAACTGTCCATTTTATTAATGAGTAATACTCTTAATTAGCCACATACACTTACCTTAGCTGCACTTTATATTACAGTATGTGCACACTGTAAGAAAATTCCTGTAGACTTTTAAGGAATAACTTGCCAATGAAATCTTGTAAAATGTTGTAAATTGCTGTAAAATGGATTACACTAAAATGTTGTTAAGCAATTTACAGCTAATAAATTTGTTACAACAATACGAAATTCACTTGTATTTTACATTGCTGTACTTTTTTGTAAGTCCACCACTTCACAGTATTCAACTAAAGTTGGCAGTAAAATAAAAATACACCAAAAGCCAAGGTGTTGTTTTAATAATTTTACATTGAAAAGGCTGTAAATCATGACATTTACATAAACAAATCTATTACTTTAAATTATATTGATTCAAATGCATTACAAAAAACACAATTGAATAATTTATTTATGAGGTTTTTATGACTTTTATCAAACAAAAGTAACATAAAAAATAAAAGAAATATATATATATATATAACAGAACAAAATTGATTAAAAAAAAAATTAACCACGCTATAATCCTCATATTGTGCAACAAACAGTATATGATGTGCATAAACAATATATGATGTGCATTAATTTTACAAATTAAACCAAACAAAACAGGTCAGTACCGAAAGGTGAGGTTGACAGCATGGTTGACAGCATTAAGCAAAATAAATATTGATACCAAAAGAAAAAAGAAAGGGGGGGGGGGGGCGTGAAAATTGTATGCTTGTATACAATTGAATGAAAATTGTATGCTTGTGCCATATCAGAACTAGTACTCTTCTGGAAGGTGTAAGTGTAAGACGGAAGACCATTCATTCAACAGTAACTGCTTCACGTTTCAGAGATTTGCCTTGCTCCAAGAATGGCAACCAAATGTTGAAAAAAAATTGGTCACCAAACTTCGAAGAGTATGTTAAATTTTTTCTAATTTAACAAAAAATAAGGTGTCTTTAATTCATTGAGTATGGGATGGGAGTTGATGAGACTTCCACTGTAACAAAATACAACGCTAATAATAAACAGAATAAAGAAACTCAAAAAGGTTCGGAGCCATTTGAAGCAGAGCAAACTATGAGTACATTTTTACTTTTAAGTGAACTATCTGATTAACAAGGATACACTGTAACAGTTTTGTTAATCAATAACAGCTGTGTGGATGCTAGTGCTTGATTAAGAGTCTTAATTTCTTAATCAATACTCATATTTCTTCCTAAATCTAAATAGCAGTGTTTTAGCTGCTTTCTATTGATGCATGAAATCCACTGTGAAAAAAACGAACTGTAAAATAAATGGTGGCTGTGTTAAAATACAGTTAAAATGATTGTAAATTTACAGTAAACTACAATATTTCAATAATTAACGTTTTTTAAGTATTAACATACAATGTACCTTTGATATACAGTACACACACACAAAACCACCAAAAACAGGTGGTGTAGACAAGCCAAAGCTCATCTCAAACGGCTTTTCCTCAAGCAGAAAAGCATACTAATATAAAAAGGCGCTCAATAATGGTGGTGACTGCCCAAAACACGAATAATTAATACTTTAATTCATTCAAATACTTTAACAGTTTAAACTTATATTTAGATAAAACTCAATAAAAGCCAAATACACACTCCAAAAATGATGTTTGTTTAAACGATGAAGCTAAAATGAGCTGAAACAGCACAATTCTTGAACTTTTTTTGAGGACAACTTAAATGTTTTATGTTCAAAGCACTTAAACATATGCGTTAACTTAATTTCTTTAGGTTAT